AAATAATTGCTAAGAGAGAAAGATGTCATAGTTTCCCTGAATTGGCACTGGAATTGTTATTGATATTGCTGGGATTGAACCCAGTTTCTATATTTTAGATTGCAAAATTGGGCTTTATAGAGTATCACAGAAGTATCTTAATGAAAGAGGTAAGTAATGAAACTAAATCTCACCCTACCCACCTGTGAGGAGACCCTTCAGCCCTTTGAATATATATACCTACTTGCTTTGTGTATAACACATTTGAAATCCTAACAAGTCAGGCAGCTAAAATAAGAGACAATAACTGATAAACTGGGCAAATTGGTTTGGTTTAACATTGATCAAATGTATTCTTATACATCTCTGACTGGTAGATATTTTTCACAATATCTTAGAATCATTTCAGAGGATCTCAAAGCATGACAAAAATACTTAAGGGAGTAATTATACACATGTCTGAATGAAACCTTAGAAAACAGGCAGTTCCCACAATAAAAGGAATCATGAACCCAGCATAAATTAAAAACACTTCACATCATCATAAAACCAGAATTTCTAGAGGCCCTGGGTGAAAAGCTGCAGTAATTAAACCAGTTTGGATCTGCAAAATAGATATGGATACGGAAAACTGATGCCAAGAATGCCTTCCGAATGAGGGTGAGACTTGAAACTAGTGAATATGGTTAATGAACTATATATAATGAATGACAATTTTTAATTTAGTCATGAGAAGTATTACTGTTTAATATGAACAAGCTGTCTATGAGCTTGTCTTTTCCTGTCATATTTATGCCATAAAATGTTGCAACCAGCTTCTCCCTTCCTAGTATGCAGGAGGCATGGCATTTTTACCAGCATAAAATAGAAGTAAGTCTGTGTGAAAAATACAAGCACTGTATCATCACTGCAAAGAAATGAGAAAAAGACATAAATATTTTCATTTTAAATGAATTAACAGTGGCCAAAAATGAACCACTAGGAAAATAATCTGAGGCCCTATTGCACTGTGGCCAGTCTTGCTAGAGGATATTTTTCACCCAATGAACATCCATTCAACAAATCAGGACCCCTGTATCCTTAATCCGAGATGAGCCCTGAATGTAGAACTACGGCTCTATTTATCCCTCCATAAGGAAAGAGTTATTGAATAGTGTTCAGTTGGGTGCTTCCAGTAGAATATCCCCTTGTTTCATCAAAAGAGGTACAAAAGTATACTATTTTTGTATATAAAGAACTGTGTCAGAACCCCCCAAAATTAAGTTAATTAATGATTACACATTACTAAATTGACTGAAAGCATCAAGGGTAATCTGAATAATATTCAGGTAGAATCTAAATTTGGGGGGCTTCAGTGTACATTTGGCTATGCTGTTACATAACCTGGCATCTCCAGTTTTTGAGCCATGATGACCACATGGGTGGAAAAGGTAGCAGAATGTCAAACAATCAATAAGGCCATGCTGAACTCTACTGCAGGTCCATTATAAAGGAAAACCATCAGTGAGATTTTACATATACTTATTAATGTAAAAAAAGCATTTAATCATATAAAGAACAGGAAGATGCTTTAATCTAAAAAGCTATCATTAACATGCCAAAACTTTAAACTGAATTCTTTAGAATAAGAAATATTTTTCCAGATTTAATCCAGAAATACTCTTGGTTTTTTAAGAGAACTTCCTTCCTTATCCTCCATATCCCTACTTTGTCAGCCACAGAGTCAAGTAAATAATGTTCTAGGACACTGGCATCCTCCATTCCTTATAGGTCAAGCCCTCAAGCCCACTACTCAATGGCTTCCATGATGGATAAATCAGATATTTTCAAACTTTCTCCGAATAACAGGCACCCTATGAGACAACAGAGTGAAAGTTCATTACAGATTCTTGACCCAAACAGCAGATCCCCACAGTTAAAACAAAGGATCAACTGTAAAGCTTCCATGTACTGTAGGCTCCTTGACAGAAAGGGCCTCTGTGGGAAGTGGATGTCAAGCTAGCAAAAAAACATTGTGAGCATCACCTCTCTTGTTCCGCCTGCTGAGAAAGAGCAACAATGTTTGCTACACTGCTCCATCAAACTCTTGCACAAGGAAACTCCAAGAGCTCAAGTTCACCAGTGGTGGACCACTAAGGAAGAAAATCCTAAGCAAGCAATAGAGCAAGTGATAGTTTTAACAGAATAACAAGTGCAAGTTTGCATAATGCTAAATGAAATAGCTTGATTGAGAAAGCAGGGAAAGGAGCTACAGGAAAGCTTCCATTTTCTTCTTCGGAAAGATAATGTCATTTTTGCCTTCTACACAATAGACCAAAGTTCAACAGGAACAGCATTTCTTAATACAGACATGGAAACAGAAGCAATAATACTTACATCAAATGTCTACAATGTGGCATTTGAAAGCTGTAACATTCTTTTATGAAAGACCAAAAAAAAAACCCATTTACATAGTTAATGGAGGAAAGTTAGACTACACTTTTTTGTAGGAAGCAAACTGATCTGCTGAAATGGTTTTCCTTTGTATAATATAACAAGAAAATTCATTTGAAATCTTTTCAGTCATTCTCCATTTGTCTACCAATCTATAGAAGAGAGATGGCGTTCTGCCAGTTTTATCCTGCACACCTATGTATACTGGTAAATTCAAGGTATAGCCCATATTTCTAATCAACAAAAGCTCAAAGCAGCTAACAAAATAAAACAAAAAATTACAAAATTAAAAGTTTAGAACTAGTCCTAAAAATAAAATTGAAAGGCTGGTAAAAACATACAGATAGGGACATTAGGGAGTCAAACATAATTCTGAAGGGTTTGCATCCACATTCAGAATACAGTTGTATATGTGAAAAATACATACGTATGTACACTTATATCAGTCTGCTACAGTACGTTATTGGAAGCCCTAATCTCATACCTGACATTACATATTTACTGCCATGTTTGCACATGCTTACCACTGACTCCATTGCAAACATAATAAACACGTGGGTGCTAAAGATAGAATTGGTGCACAGTCCCTTTCTTCACCATAATATGTGGAAGAATATGACTGAAATAGTTTGTCTGATAACATTTATAGAACAATTGTAGGCAACTTCAGGGCCAAGCATATTTTTTCCACATCATTCCTTCATTTCAGTTACAAACAAGAGCTCTCACTCCTGACCAGCATTTTTGCCTAGGCTTACAATATAATTCTCATCATTTCAACAAAGAGGTCACAGATACACCACCCCATAGGTAGTTAAGAGCATGAAGGAACAAAGAAGTTCCCTTCTTTGTCAGATTACTGTCTCTTTCAGGAAGATTCCAAGCAATAGGTTTTTTCTTCCTTTCCTAAACTTTGACCCTTTCTGCACACAAACAAGGCACTCTACCATTGGGCCATAGCCGAAACACGTTGTAGATGTGAAGTGTATTAGCTTTAAACAAAGCAAGTACTGGTCCAGTAAAACAGAAACGTTTAGCCTAACTTCTCAGAAGTTGTACCCAAAGGATCCGCACATTTAAATTTAGACAGTCTGTGGTACAGAAATCTAAAATCTATATGGCACTTACTCCCATGTTAGGATCAGTATTATAAAATCCTTCTCCCTCCAGCACCCTTGAAAGACCTGGTTATTTCTTTGTATACACATTACATGCACAATAGTATGCACAAATATTTTTAAATCTTATTTTTCCAGGTTTGTTTTTTCTTCCAAAGTGTTTTAAAGAAAAAAAAAATGTACAGCACCATCAGCCATTGATAAAGGTAGCAGACAAAAATTAATGTTGACATTATTTCTATATGTATATGCTTGTATAAGGATGTGTCTATAGTTTTGCATGTGGATAACACTGGAACATCCTTAGGCTTCTTTTCCAGCTTAAACACTTTAATTCCAGGACAGAATAGCAATGAGACTTGTATCGCTGAAGCCACTTACGTCCTCTGCATGCCATGGCAAGCTTATTGCTTTTGGAATTCTCTTCTCTTTTGTATCAAGCAGTATGCTGCTCCACAGAAAGCAACATATAGCACAACCAAAGCCAAACATTTGCTTTTGTTACTGCAAGAACAAATTGCACAGAACTCAGCCCTTAACATCCTGTAACAGGAAGTGAAGCTGCCTCATTAACAACATTTGCAGGCTATTGCTCTGTAAAGAAAGAAGCAGCCAACTATAATTCAGTTAACTTGCAAACAATTATAAATAAGAAATTTAACTATCAGACTAAAATATTAACTATGTAGGTTAGAGAGGAACATCTTGCATGATTAGGTTCTACAATTTCACATTTTGAGGCCTAGGCCTTTTAGTTAATCATTTCTTTGCATGTTTTCATGAGCACTCTGCCCTTCCCGCAAGTTTGCTGCATATGCCACGTTTAAGCAGCACTATTTCAGTCACAAGTTTGAAAACTCTCCTATAATTATAGTTGTCCAGAAAGTCTTGACAAAGGCATGCCTGTTTTAAAAACAATTATATCAGCTCAGAGATACAACTGCTAGCATATTCTGCTATTCTCTAACTTTGAAACTCAGAAAGAGGTCGCCCTAATATAATGGCCCTCATTGCTCAGATTCAAATAGAAGCAATCTGAATCTTATACAAAGCAAGAGACAAGAAGGCTTACGACCACTGAATTCTTACTACAGGGTTTAAAAATAATCACAATCCTCATTTTATCACGATTGAGCGTCCATTATTTCTAGTCCAACGCAGCTTTTACTGTCCCGATAGAATAATTTATATATTTCTGCACCCAGCACCGCCACAGCCCTCCTGCAGCTTGCTGGAGAAATGCTCCAGAATCAGGTCCCACCCAGCGCTAAACAAACGGCCTACACATTATTTGGCTAGCATGAAAAGACACCCCCCCCCCGCCATACCATTCACAGCACATAATCATGAACACGTTAATGCATTAATGCTACACGCGTGACACGCTTTGCACATTTAGCAGCACGTTTCGCCGCTGGCAAAACGCCTGGTTTCCTGGAAGGGAGCTACAGGAAAAAGCGGTGGCATTACCGGTGGCCGTTCCAGAGCAGGCCTCTGCGTTACGGTCTCCAATCTGGCGGGCTGTGGAGTGGCAAAGAGCAGCAGCTCGGTGTCGTGGTCTCCTTCGGACGCGGGGAGCTGGTCTGGAGTGGAAATGATCACGATCTGCTGTTCCATCACATGGATGGCCTCCGCTCCCCTCAGCAAGGCTTCCAGGTCTGCCACATTCTGAGTTACTTCCAGCCCTTCCAGAGACATGGCACAAAGCGCTGGGACTCACATGCCCGAGAACTTGGGAGGAAGGCAGGGCGGGGGAGGGAGCCCCGGTTGGCCCCCTCCTCTCCACACACCGCAGGAAATCAAAACTGTCCCCCCCCCTCCCGGCTTGAGCCCCCCCACCCCCACCCCGGAATCAAAGTCGCCTCAGCGGACTAATGCCATCGTCCCGGCCGCTGCGGTGGAGGGAGACACCGGATGGCAGAGAGTGGTAGGATGGAACACGCCCCATCCTCTTTTTAAGAGCAGAGGCCCGGGAAATGGTGTCCAGCCAAGGCCGTAGGTGGAAAGGCGAGAGCGAGGAGGGAGAGCACCAGGGCGGCTGTGCAGGACATCGGCGAGTCCTGTCTGGGCGCCGCTCGGGAGGGAAGGGGAAGGAAGGGTGGGTGGGAGGGGGGCTACAGACAGCAGCACATCGCAGGGCACTCTTCCATCCACGCTCTCCGGGCCAGTGCCGACTTCCCAGCTGCCCAGCCTTGTTCCAGTCGGGTCTCTCCGAGGTTCTCCCGGTCCCGGCCGAAATGCAACTGAAGCTTTTTCCCGCCCGTCTTTTCCACCCAGCGAGCTCAGCCGATCCGCTCGCGCTCAACTCCGGCACTGTTATTGTTCCCAGCTGGTCCCGGCCTCGCACACGTTTGCGCGCCAAATCCTTTTTGCCGCGAAAGCAGCACGAGCAGGCTATCGTCGCTCCCATTGGCTGAGCCAGCCACATCAACATTCGGCTTTTGGGGAGGGTCGCCCCTTTATTGGTCGCCGCTCCGAGATGGATACCTTACGCCGCCCTGTCGTTGGTTACGATCGGGCGGCCGCCGGAGCGCGGCGGTGACGGCTCAAACGTTCTGACAGCCTCCCAATGGCCGCGGCCCGTTTTGCGGAAGAGGGGAAGGAGGCTGACCAATCGGAGGAAAGACGCGGAGAGCATGTGAGGAAGGAGGCGTTATTGTGGCGAGAGAGATCTCGTGCCCTGCGAAAGTGGCTGGTTACTGATTCGCTGCTTGATCGTTTCACCGCCAGCAACGTAGCTCAAACCCTTAGGGTGCGTTTAAACAAAAGTAATCCTCCCATCCGGACTTTAGTAAGTAATAGTAACAGTAAACTGTACTATTAAGCAGAAACATTGTAGTTTCCATCCTTGTCGTGCCGTGTGAAATTGAAACCGCATCCGTGCCATTTTATCCGTTGTTTTTTAGGCGGGAATCGGTGAAGGGGTGCATTTGGGTTATAAGGTTTCTGCCTTCTGATTCCACTCAGCTCAGTCCTGCTCCTCCTCTCCACTCCTCTCCCTCCACTTTGGGTAGCCCAGGTAGGTGGCAGCACCTCGCCAACAGTGGAAGCTGAAAAAAAACAAACGAAGGAATAACAGAACAACAGAATTGGAAGGGACCTTTGAGATCTTCTATCTCAGGGGTCTCCAACCTTGGCAACTTTAAGACTTGTGGACTTCAACTCCCAGAGTTCCTCAGCCAGCTGGCTGAGGAACTCTGGGAGTT